ACATGCTCTCAAGAATAAGTTACAGCAGATATGTGTAGTAAGATCACAAGTTTTATCACCAAAGGTGTACTTCAGCATGTCATTAGATCAGTTGCCATAGCAAGGTGGTATATATCAGGAATGGGGATATCAGTGCGTATTTTACACAAAAGAACAATAACTCATGTGAACTCTGGACATCTGACTCATGGCAATAAAGTTTATGCAGGCCCTAAGATGGCAGATATTCAAAAAATCCAGTTTTGATATACCAACAATAGGACTGATCATCAGCACTAATCTTACCCTTCATGAAATGTGACCAGACTTACGATTCATTTGCCCATAAACAGAGCTGGTTCATCAGACAGTAGTTTTATCTTTAATGTAATGTATAAATCACAAGCATTATTTCAATCCCACATGACCTCCTTTTAAAAGAAGATGTAAGCTGTGGCCTAAGCCAGACTGTGTCCACTGATCATTTTTTACCATGATTTAATCAAATGCATACTTTTATCCAACTTTCACGAGAACAGAAACTACTGTATTTAATCCAGAATAATATCAGTCCAATTTAACAGCAAAAATAGTATTACCCTGTGATGAGAACAACCCTGGAAAAAGAAAGCAAGAAAAGCTCAACAGGAAATACAGGAAATACCTGTCACCTAATAGTGAATCGATACCCATTTGATTTCCCACTTCAGCTACCTAAAGCACATGAGAGAACACAATATTTGAAGAAAAACAATAGTTACTTTAGTCATCGCTTTCTAGGCCACCTTCAGAATAAGCATTTTATCTTAAGTTGTAAATACATCTATTAGAAATACTACGAAATATCATTACTTCATCGTGTGCAGAATCCAAGATTAGAGCAGCAGCATAGGATATACTAATCTTACAAATGCTAACTACATAGGCAAGCTGGCTCATTTTAAGTGTCTTTGAGGTTGGCAGAACTAAGTATATAACTTCCGGCTTGTCAAATGACATCCTTGTATGGTTAAGCCTTTTTTTGTGAGGCAATTTCAGAGATGGATTTTCAAAATACACTTAAAGCAACTCATGCCAACAGAATACTTTCCCAAAGAACACCCAGCTAGCTTCCCTTCAAGTAAGTGTTTAAACAATAGTATCATACTGCTATTAAAAGGTAGTAATATGCAAATGTAAATTCAAACATACTTAGTACACTGCATGAGTTGTTTGTACCACACATGGTTGCATCTTGCCTTTTAAATTTCTTTCAGAAGATTCAGGGGAAGAATTAACACTTAACTTTTGAGCAATAGTAGCCAAGTCCAGTATACTAAATTAAAAAAGAAGCCTGGCACTTGAGTTTCCAACTAATGCACTATGCAAACTTCCTGATCCAAACTTAACATTACACCATTTTATCAAGTCAGCAACCTAAGGAAACAAACAAGACACTTACTTCAGAGTAAGCCAAGGTAATATGCTCATATATCCCTTGATGATGATGGATAGCATCTTCTAAATCTTGCAATTCTGAGGGAAGCTCTACCTCACCACAGGCTTTACACCATGAGTCCACATTGCTCATGTACTGCAACAGAGAAAAAACATTCTGCTTGATTTTGGGTTCTATCAGTAAGTACACACATGTTGGTAATATAGAAAAGGACTGGCATCTGTGTAACAGCCACTGAAAAGACTTTTTTAAGGGAAAAATCTTTAATGTATTTCTCTGTGAGCTGACCAAAATGAAGCTTTTATCAGAATAGAAACAAATATTCAAGTCTGACTATACTTGTGCTTTTAGTTATATGGAAGTCTTTGAGCCGTTCACAGACAGGCAGGCTTAGTTGTATACTGGCAGCCTTCAACCAACTAAACTGTTGGCAATACTGATGCTTCAAGTTTGCTCTTGCTCCTTTTCTTGACTTTGCCGCTAAGAAAAAGTTTACTTCACTCCGCACCTACCATTTCAGATGCATGAGAGCCAATTAAGGTCCCGTCTACACAAAGAAGTAAAACATGCTACAACTTTCAAGTCCAGACCCTCAGCTCTTACCCATCAACACCCTGTGCAGATACTCATAGTATCATGAGGTATCACCTCACCTTTTTTAGATCTTCAGAGAAAACCAAGTTACTTCGCATGTGTGTGCACAGGCACACACACATAAAGAATTAATGGTGAACTGCCCACTGAAACACACCATAGTTGTCTTTTGCTGGGAAGAGATCATCAAGGAGGCAAAGCCGTGTTAGAGCACAGCAAATTCACACCTCAGTCCCCAAAGCACTAACCTCTACATGCAGAGAAGCACTAAATCCATTTGGCAAGCTACTACAGCAGCAAGCATGTAAGGGATTTACAACTTAAGCGAGGTTCTCTTAGGACTAACACTGAACTTCGAGCACACAGCTATGTCAGCATAGCTGCTCAAGTCAAGCCTTTCAGGGGAAATTGAGGATACTGCAACAGAATCTCTTCTGCAGACAATTTAAGTTACCTCTGAAGCTTAAGCTGTCTTGACAGACAAACTGCCATCATAGCTGTATGCACAGCAGAAGTTCTGACAACTTATTTTTGACAGCTAGGGGGCATGAATTTTATACCCTCATTATGCTAGGAAAGGAAAGAGGAAAAAAAGAATCTGTTTTTCTAGGAGTTTTCATGCTGTTAAACTTAGTACAGCCAAGCACATGTGGTATCTGTAAACTAAATTTGCCCTCTATTCATGTCAAGTTCAAGTTTCAAAAGTTTTAAGAGACCAAGCCATTTCTTTCATCATGTGTATCTTAATTCCTGGAGCACATGTAGTCTTTTGAGGAAAAAGTAATCCACAGACCATTTCTGGTACTTTATTATTGTTTGAAAGCTGGGAAGAAGGGTGATAGAGTACTTAACTCTAAGATTCTTATTTAATTCTCATTTCATCAAGGGACAATTTTAAAAGTCTCTAACATTAAGCACTGAACATTAAAAGAAGCTCCATGCGGGACCACAGAGCTACACCTCTTGCACCAGTCAGCAGGCACTGTAGCTGGGTGCAGTCTTCACTGTGTCTGACAGTAGGCAGCGACACTTACCTGTCACTTGCAAGGGAACACATGCATTCAAGAAGGGTGTGTTGTTTCTTTGGCTGCTTATTTTTTAATCATCTTTTTATGTAGGTCAAGCATCACCAGTGTCTAAAGGGGTCATTCCTCTCTTTCCAAACCCTCTTTCCTTGAACTCACTCTCCACTTTTAATGAAACAGCTAACATATCACAGCCAGGTACCTTACAAAGCAACTATGACAATCCATCACAGTTAATCATAAAATGAAAACCACAGAAGGAGCAATTAAAAAGTAAATTAATCCCAGCAGATGCTGCACTATTTTCTCTCATTCTTCTCTTTCCTCCTGTTTACACTTACATTTAGTGCTGAAGAAGGTAACACTGACCCTCACCACAGTTGCCCAGCACACGCACACACACACACAAAATTTACTCCCCTGACTTCTGATAAACATAATTTTCTTATGAAAAAGGACAGCAGTTGAGTCAGGGTATACCTATCTGTTCATGTTTCACCATCTCTCTCCTACAAGTATGGCTGACAGTGCTTAAATGTAAACCTGAATAACCTAAGCAATTAGAAAAGCATCAATACTGATAAGGTACCACACCGTGTCTATCAAATGCTTCAAGCTGGTTGGTGACTTCTATACCAGAAAACAATTCCTTCATCTCCTTTTTATGTGGCTTTTCTGTAAAACCTGCTAAAAATACTTACTGTAGTGGCATCAGTTTATATACTTTACCTTAGTCTGCCTAAGGACAGTTAAACCTATATCACCACTAACATAATGAAACGCAATCTGTATTTGCATCTTAATACATTCACATTTCTAATTTCTGGACATTTATGAAGTTGAATATTTGTGCAGTAGAAGTCAGGAAAAAAACTTCTTAAAGTGTGCTGCCTCTCTCTATTTCTGCAGTTATCAACTCCCAAGTGGTTCCTTCATTTATTCCAAATTAAAGTTTTATCAGATATGAGGCCTTTTCTTGGATCCAGTTTAGCAAGGCAAACGGAAAGAAAAGTATCTACAGCAGCCATACAGCACACCAGAGCTTCAGTCAGCCATAACCATCCAAGAACCTCTGTTCTTCAAATTCACCAGAGGTGTACAGAGCAGACAGTCTATAATATCAATGGGTGACTCAACAACACACTCCTTCAGAACTGAATTCCCTTGAGGGGAAAACATGCTTTCACCATCAAGACTATTAACTTGGGGATATTTATTCCTATTTCCCCTACATATACCTCTTCTCTGGCAGTTACACACGGTTAATGACTTAATTAAAATAATTGGTATAGGCCTAAAGCTAAAATTTTTGTTTAATATAGGAGGAATCTCTTATGGGATAATAAGTAAACATCTCCCACCACAATTTCAGATTCATAAGACAGTTAATTAACTTCTCAACTTTCAGGCCAGTTCAACTTAGTTTTCTATAAGTAATTACTATGAGTTAAATCTTGACACTCAAGGACTAATTGGGGTGGAGTGGTGAGGACAATAGAACAAGCAATGATTTCTGAATGTATGAAAGGCATTATATTGATACTGACTATACTAATTTTTTTCCTTTCTTTCTTTCAACTTAAAAGCTTCATATAGTTAAGCATTTATGTCCACTTCATTTTGATTCACATAGCTGATTTGGCTAAGTTTTATCTTGCATCGATATGGGCAATGCATTTTGCGGAGAAAAAGGGCAGTAGGCTGTCCTGACGAGAACAAGTTTTTGTTTGAGTATCAACTGAAATTGACAGAAATGAATGCTCTTGACTTTCTTGCCAACCTTTTCAATCACTCTCTTATACTTCTGTCTAAATCAAAAGCAAATAGTACAACTCACCATTCCAGCACAGAAACTTTTGTTGGTGCCCTCCCCATTCACTAACCTGTTCAGCTTTCTGATGGAAGATGGAGGACATATCCAGTAACGTGCTACGTTCATCCAAGGCTGCAGCAAATGCCTTCCATTAAATCTGTTTTATTTGCTGTGAAGCATAATGGCCAGACTCGACCAGGCGATTTGCTACCGACATGATGCGGTTTATGTTTACATACACATTCTATGGAGAAGGAAGGAAGGAAAAATTAGTGGAAGTTAGCAGACCACTTAAATACAGAGGTATACATCTATGAAATTCTTCTTCATTACAGTACTGCTTAATACACTGGTTTTATTTGCCAAGTTTGTGCATGCCTAACTTTGGAATCTAGGTGTATAATGTAACAGCCCATCTGTATTACTGACAAGGGAGAAGGACAACTTGAAATGACTGGAACTCTCAAGAGAATGTTAAGAGTCAGCTTAAACAAAGCCATATATGAAGACCCATTATTACAGTGAATAGGAAAAGCTAACCATATTTTGCAATAGCTTCAATAAGAATGTTTACAGATGCTCAAGTCAACAAGACATTCATATACAAACAATATAGGAAAATCAAAGTATAATTAGTAAAGTCTTGATCTATCCACGGTATGCATGTGTGCAACATCACTCTACAAATCTTTACATCAACTTCTGAAAGTATTTCTACTTTTTAAGTAACAGAATACAGAACTCTGAGTTTTAAGGAGTTCAACAGTTTTAGATTTTATTTTCCTGCCACTATATTGCCTCAGAGCTAGCACTGAAAACTAGAAAATAAGATCAAAGATCAAAAAGATTCTCCACCATACTGGCATTACTCACTGATGGCTCTTAGTCACTCTTACTTTCTTTCCTTTTAGCTCACATGCATTTTGGCCTAAGGTGTCTAAAATCTTTCCTGTTCTGTTTCTGTATGAACAAACAATATTTTTGAAAGGAAGCAATCAAGAGTTTCTGATTCCTGCAAAGCCAGAAACAAGAACAACTTCACCGAACGGTTTCTGAGTAGCTCTCCCAGAGCTACATGTATATAATGCTGAGTTGACGCTGCCTTCCATTGGGCTGACTCTCATACATCTGGAATGAAGTTCTTGGAATCACAGGATTGTTGAGGTTGGAGATCATCTAGTACAACTCCCCTGCTCAAAGCAGGTTCAATCAGAGCAGGTTGCTCAGGGTCACGTCCAGTGCGGTTTTGAGAATCTCTAAGGATGGAGAGACTACGATCTCTCTGGGCAACCTGTTCCAGTGTTTCTTATGTTTAAATGGAATTTCTTGTATTTCAACTTGAGCCCATTACCTCTTGTTCTGTTACTGGATACCATGGAGAAATGTCTGGTTCTGTCTTCTTTATTCCCTCCCATCAGATATTTATTTTTTTATATACGCGAGATCCCTAAGCATTCCTTCATCCAGGATAACCAATCCCAGCTCTCAGCCTCTCCTTGTGCAACACAAGCATGCCATACAGGTACTTCAGAGAAGAACTTGGTCATGGTCACTTCCCAGAAAGGGAATGAGAGTTTTCCACACACATAATGCTGTCCTGTAGGCACGTCCTAATTTGTGTGTATACACTTGGAGCAACCCCAGTTCAGCCCTATTTTGTTGATTACAACGTCCCTTTTGTTCAACTCACAGGAGACCCCTTGCTTGCCAACCCAGCCCACCACTTCTCACTTGATCGTTGGTCCTCTTCTCCCTCTCCCATCATTCTTACCCTAAAGCTCTTCTTATCAGGTTGTCCGGCCTGCTGGCAAAGGTACTTTTGCCCCATTTAGTCAAATAGCTATCCTTGATCCTCAGAGAGAGGGTCCCATGGTTGTAGAAAACAAAACCCTGTTGCCAACATCAGCTGTGTAAACAGTTGTTGACCTGCAGGATTCATCTATCCTCTCACCAGCAGGATTGAGAAGATTGACCATTGCCTCTGGAGCCATGTAGTCACGCTTGAGACCTTCCAGGTCACCCCTGGCAGTATCGCCAGTGCTCACATGGAAAAGCGGCAGGGGGCAATAGTCTGAGGGCTGGACAAGCTTTGGCAGTCTTTCTACAACGTCCCAAAACCAAGCCCCCAGCAAGCAGTAAACTTCCTTAGAGAATGAGTCAGGTTGACAGATGGGGGTCTCTGTTCCCTGCAGAAGGGAGTCTCCCATTACTATCGCTCACGTCTTCCTGTTGGTGCTCCTGTGTGGCTCAGACTCAGATGGCACAAATACTTTATTTGACAGCTCCCAGCTCCTCATCAGCCATGAGGTCAGTGAACCTATTCTGTAGCTGCAAATCTTCAGGTGGAGCAGAAACCTTCCTCCTAGTGCCAGAAGCCATTATCCTCCAACCTTCATTATCGTGAGAGTCTCCACTTCCCAAACAGACAGGCCCAGACTCTTCCTGACCCTCCTCCCTTCAGTACAGTTGGTAGTTTGGGCTCTTGAAGCTGTAGAGTGTTGGAAAAGATCTGGTCAATCTCTTTCTCATTATCTCTGATGCTGTGCAGACTGCTGACCTCCTCCTGCAGCTCCTTTACTTGGTGACACTGATCCTTAATAACTGCATACCTCCTGTGGGCAAGGAAACCATCTCCTGCTGCCCCAGCCTTGGCAAGAGGCCACAGGCATTCTCTGCAGCCCTGGACCTGCAGAGCTTCATCCTCCTTCTGGAGCTCCCTCTGGGTTGAGGCCTCTGATGTTACAGGGATAATCGGTCCAGCAGTAGCTGGGGACTGTGTCCTGGGGCGCATCACCACCATTGCCAAGGACATGGATGCTGTTTCTGAGCAGAGTTGCTGGCCCTTTCTGCATGAACTGCAGCACAAATTGCTCTGTCCGTTGGCTACCTCTGTTAGTTGCACTCGTTCTTGCCTATATCCTAAATATTTACATGTGGGGCCAAACTACCGAACACTTATCACACAGAACGGCTGGGAAGAAAACAATAAACACCATTAAAATCTCAACATTCTGCAGTGAAATATTTTTCCCTCTTGTCCACGCAGTGCTTTCTGGAATGCCAGCACACAGGAAATGCCACGGAGCAGTTAGCTATCTGACAGCAGCAGCATCGCAACCTTCCCCGATCAAGGGTAGAGGACCTGAGTCCAGTGAGCCAGGGGGGACAGAACTGACTGCAACAAGCCTCAGTAAAGGCAACAGATCAACAAGTGACAGAAGAACAAAACCTGAAATTGCTGTATGGTTAACTGTGGAAATATAGAAATATGGAACACTGTATGGTTATATTACTGTTGAGAGATGTAATGGGCAGCCTGTGCCAAAATCTGACTATAGTCCTGCCAGTAAGAGAGGTCAGGGGAGAACGCTGGCACATGGACACCCAATGCTGCGTAGACGCTGAGCATCCGAGGTGGAACCATTACCCAGCGTCGAGCCACTGCCCAGAGTCCGACACTGACTGGCTGGAACAAGTGTTGCAGTTCCTCCAGGCTTCACTGTGCTGACACACCTGAGTGGTAATTGGCACAGGTCTCTATTAATTGTAACTGTATGCACATATGCAGGCAGGAGCATACCTGACACAGCGTACACCTCAGCTGGTCTACGTTCCT